AGACAGGCAGACAGGCAGGCAGGCAGGCAGACAGACAGACTGACAGACAGACAGACAGCCAGACAGCCAGGCAGGCGGACAGGCGGACAGACGGACAGACGGACAGACGGACAGACGGACAGACGGACAGACGGACAGACGGACAGACGGACAGACGCACAGACGGACAGACCGAGGGAGGGAGGGAGGGAGGGAGGGAGGGGCGGACGGAGGGACGGAGCGAGGGAGGGAGGGGGATGTTTTGTTGCTGGTGGGTTCTCCCAGCCTTACATTGATCTGAATATTCCAAACATACATGTGAACCATCTCGGATCTTCTCATGGATATCCCAACTGATCACAATATATTATTTCCATACCTTCACATGAACGATACAGATGTGTGTGTGTGGATATTACATGTATGGCCCGCTATTATCTTAAGGTTGCAAGTACTTATCTGTGTGGTTCTGTGTGTCTGTATGTATTCATTGTAGTAGATGTACATATACTTCAATTCCTTGTTGTTTTGTTTAAACCGGAAAGGCCGCCTTCTCCTGTGGCTAGAACTGTTGATGCTATGTTGCTGTTTGCGTCAAACATGGAGACCACTTTCAATGGGTTCCTTGTTTTCTTGTGTTTCCTGCCAAAATCAAAATCTCTGCTAGTGGATCTGCCCGCTGCTTTGCTGTGGTTGCGCTCTTGCTGCTCTTAACACTTTCACCCATTTGCTCCTCAAGTTTTCACTCGACCAGAAAGTACGTACGTATATAGTATTACTTTATATAGTTTGCCTGCGAGACGAACATGGAGAACTGAGGTGCTCGTGGTCAGCACACACCGCCTTTATCTCAACTTGTGGTGCATCAGCCATAGCAGCTGCCAGTAAACCTTCTGTTTCGTCATTTTTGGACGAAGCGTTTGCGCCGATGCCTCTAGGCCGTTGCATGATCTGCACAAATGCATGCTCTGCGCTCAGTGCCTTCCGCGTATCACCAATCACTTGTGATTGTTCCCGAGAGCGCCTGCGAAGGGTTCTTCGTAAAAAAAGCTGCCGTTGTAATACATCTTCACACCTTCACATCTGCTGATCTACATCTTCACACCTTCACATCTGCTGATCTACATCTTCACACCCTCACATCTGCTGATCTACATCTTCACACCCTCACATCTGCACATCTACATCTTCACACCCTCACACCTGCTGATCTACATCTTCACACCTTCACGCCTGCAGATCTACATCTTCACACCCTCACATCTGCTGCTCTACATCTTCACACCCTCACAGTTGCAGATCTACATCTTCACACCCTCACATCTGCAGATCTACATCTTCACACCTTCACATCTGCAGATCCCCTCTCTCTCTTCTTTCTATCTCTCTCTTAAGGCGGGGGCGGTGCCGCCGGAGCGCCACGAAACGCAACCCTTTCGCACGAAATGGACGTTGGACGTCAAAAACTGAGGTAAAATTGCGATTTTGAGGTGTCGCGGGCAACCCTTTCGCACGAAGTGGACGTTGGACGTCAAAAACTGAGGTAAAAAGCTTCTGTGTGTAAAAGCTTTTGTGTGCAAAAGCATCTGCGTGTAAAAGCGTCTGTGTGTAAAAGTGTCTGTGTGTAAAATGGTCTGTGTGTAAAAGTGTCTGTGTTTAAAAGCGTCTGTGTGTAAAAGGGTCTGTATGTAAAAGCGTCTGTGTGTAAAAGCTTCTGTGTGCAGAAACGTCTGTGTGTAAAAACCTCTGTGTGTAAAAGCCTCTGTGTGTAAAAGCTTCTGTGTGTAAAAGCTTCTGTGTGTAAAAGCTTCTGTGTTTAAAAAAGCTTCTGTGTGTAAAAGTGACTGTGTGTAAAATGGTCTGTGTGTAAAAGTGTCTGTGTGTAAAAGCGTCTGTGTGTAAAATGGTCTGTGTGTAAAAGTGTCTGTGTGTAAAAGATTCTGTGTGTAAAAGCTTCTGTGTTTAAAAGCTTCTGTGTGTAAAAGTGTCTGTGTGTAAAATGGTCTGTGTGTAAAAGTGTCTGCGTGTAAAATGGTCTGTGTGTAAATGTGTTTGTGTGTAAAAGCGTCTGTGTGTAAAGGAGTCTGTGTGTAAAAGCGTCTGTGTGCAAAAGCGTCTGTGTGTAAAAGTGTTTGTGTGCAAAAGCATCTGCGTGTAAAAGCGTCTGTGTGTAAAAGTAAAAGCGTCTGTGTGCAAAAGCGTCTGTGTGTAACAGTCTGCGATTGAGAGATGCAGTGGTTGGATTGAAAATTGATTTCTGTTTTCTGTTGAGGTGGTATGTGATTGCGAGGATTGATTTGTCTTTAGTTGGATCATACAGCCCCGTGGGATTCAAGTATGGAGTTTGTGCAACCACGTTCTCTGGTCGGAGCCTCAAGTGGATACAGATATGCATTTAAAGCAATGCTGTCGACATCTTTCTTCTGTGGATATGGTCCTGCATGCATTTTTTGGAGATTGTGTTTTGTGATTGTTCCATGTTCTGTCTCTGTGGACATGGTGTTGCATTCATTCTTTGGAGATTGTGTTTTCTGATTGTTCCAATTCAAGCATGGAGTTTTACCGCACAAGTCTGTGCGAGCGGCATTCAACTGCATCTTCTACAAAAGAATCGTTTGGTCGGAGCCTCAAGTGAATGCAGAGATGCCTTGAAAGCAATACTCGCGACATCTTTCTTCTGTGGATATGGTCTTGCATTGATTCTTTGGAGATTGTGTTTTGTGATTGTTCCATGCTCTGTAGGGGCTGTCCGTGGACATGGAACGGTTGCATTGAAAATTGAGTTCTGGTTTCTGTCGAGGTGGCATGTGACTGCAAGGATTGATTTGTGTTTAGCATGATAATACAGAACTGTTGGACATCGGCTGAGGATGGATGATTGATAGCACCCGCGCTAGCAATGTGTGGAGCTCGGTTGCTTTAGTTGCAGTGAGAGTGATGATGGCAGTCACGATGTACATTTTTGGAACTTTGTTTGTGTTGCGGCTTTTGTTCTTGGTGGACAACATGGAAATGACAGAGATTGACGGTGAATATGCTTGCTAGTGAGCATTATCTGCATGCAAAATGTTTGGTTCAAGTGGCGCACCCGTGACACTTGTGAAAGCATTGTGGTCACTGTTTCATTTGCTGAAGGGATTGTCCGTGCGAATGGAGCAGGCGACCGCGTCGTCCAATGCCGTGGAAATTCGGTTGCAGGAGCTGCGTAGCAGTAGTGTGACCAGGGGCTGTGAATGGCTCCAGGGGGCACTGGAAGAAATTTCCGCACTGGAGCTTCGCAAAATGGCAAGTGCTCGGAATGTTGGCCGTGGACCGGACAAGAAGTGGCTCGCGGTTGGAGAGCTGCGCGCTCGATTGTTGGAAGTCTTGGCACCCCCAACGCAGGTCGGGTGTGGCAGAAAAAGGTTATGACGAAAGTTGAATGTTTGTTACATGGTTCAATGTTGTCGGATGAGTGCTGTTTTGTGGTTGCGGTGTGTTGCATGCTGTTGGCCTGTAGGAAGTTGCATTGGCTGCCAAATTGGAAGAACTTCGCGTAGGAGCTGTTTCACATGGTGTGGAATGGCTCCGTAGTGCTCTGTCGGAAATATTAAGCGGTGAGCTTCGCGCCCTGGCTGCTGCGGGTGGTGTGGAGACACGATCCAACAAGAAGTGGCTCACTGTAGCAGAGCTGCGCGACGCGTTGATGAAAGTCTTGGAGCCATCAAGGGAGGTTGGGTGCGTCAAAAATGGGTTCTAATCAAACTTGTATTTTTGATCGAAGTTGAATGTTCGTCACATGGTGCAATCTTGTAGGAGGGGCTTTTTTTGGGGGGGGATGAGCTGGGTGAGCCTTATGGCATCGAGGATCTCTGTTGTTTTCTTTGTATGTTGAAGAAACGTGATGGATGACGTCGAATTTGCTTTGACAATACTTGTTTTGCTTTTTTGAGGTCTTCCTACTGTTGGAACTGTCCGTATAGGAACGACGTTTCCACCCTTGCTGTCAGAGCTGTCCGTGTGAGGAGAAAGCTGCACGCGGCTGTGTGTTTATTTGGCTTGCAGCTAGATGTAATAACCTATTCAAACAATGACTTGTAGTTGTGTACTTGCACTTCCTTGCCAAAGGATGTGATGTTGTCCTTTCACAGTGTTTGCATTGCTCTAGTTCGCATGACTCAGAATGTAGGCTCAAATCTGTTGACAGATTCGGGCAACATGTGCGAGCAAGATGCGTCAACAAAAAGGACAACAGTTGCATGTAGAATTTTGTTACGATTGTGTTCAGGATTTGAATGTCAAACAAGCCACGGCTTCGGTTGGGACTGTCCGTGAGACCGCGGCTTGTGCAAGAGCGATTGTTTCATGCAACATAGTGTAAAATCGATGTCAAACATGCACTGTCATAAATTGTTTCTCCCTTGCCTTCTTTGCCGCTGCATGCAGATATTCGCGGGCCTCTTGTCAACACGGCCTGGAAACATGTCTTTGCAAGAAGCGACTTTGGACCGCATTACGAAGAGCAACACCCACATGGTCATGGTGGTTTGGCGTCCGGTGTACCATGAAATGAAGCAGTTGCACGGAAAAGAGAAGGGCACTTGGTGGAAAGCGATCGTTCGTCTCGTGGATCAAAAGGGACAAGGACTCTATGCAGAGATCCGGGGATCTTCTGAGAGCAGTGTTCGAAAGCGGGCCCCAGAGTTTTACCAGCCCAAATTCATCCAATTGACGCAAGCTGTTGTAGTGCAGAATTCGCCTTTTTTGTCCGGTTTCTCTGCTGATGTCACGAACAAGGTGCGATGAAGTTACGCGGCCTTTTCCCCACCGCCAGGTCCAGCTTTGGTGTTTTAACGGAACATTCCCAAGGAAAAGAGAGGGCAGATGTCATTGGTAAGGTGGCCCGGAAGGAGACGCCAGCAATGAGAGTCCAAAAGATGACATTGTGGCTGAAGGATGAGTCTTTCAACGAACTGGCTGTGCATCTCTGGGGAGGGGTTTCCAAGGGCAACGAAATCGATGTTGGCTCAGTGGTACAGGTGGACAATGCTTTGTTGTCGAAGATCCCTGCCGGCATCGAGGCGAGCTGTGAGCACTGCATGGATAGCAGCAAGAATTGGTTCAGTGCTTTGCATGTCAATCCCACAGGCAGCCGTGTCGAGAAACTGAAGGCTTTGTCTGACACGCGGGGTGAGGCGCTGTCTGTGCCTTGGCTCCAGGCTGCTTCACTTCGAATGGTGTCGGATGGCATGGAGAAGTTCATTTCGTGCTGCGCCACTGTATCTTCGTGCTCTTTGGCGCTTACGGATGCGATGTTAGAGGCCGCTGTGCCGAGCTGAACTAGATGGTAATGAACTTAATTAGTCCATGTGATTGGGGGTCCTTCTTTGTTGATTGCTTGTCGTGCTTTCCCTTTCTTTCATCATCTGGTGTCAGGCACAGCAAGATATCATCGAAGTGCAGTTGAACTGCGTTTGGGTCACAGGCATCTTTGGGGGATCCCATCTACACGGCATGCAAGAATTGCGGGACAAAGGTTGATTTGACCACTGGGCATTGCAAACGTCATGAAAGTCACAACTGCCAAACGATTCGGGAGGAAGAGGTATCCATCTTGGCCACAGTGACTTTGGCAGATCACACCGGCGAAGTTGACAGAGTCTTGGTGGATGGGGAGAGGTTGCAGTTGCTGGCAAATGCCAAGAGCAAGGAGGATCTGGTCGCCCTCTTGATGAAGCGTGGTCCGCAGGCCGTGTGCTTTTGTCATCCGGTGGACGTCCGCTTGGCTACCAACGGCCGCAAGCCAGGCGGCGGCAGATCCAACTTGCCTGCTGCCGCGCAAGGAGCCCTCCAATCGCAGGAGGCGGATTCGGCGATGGAGAATTTGCCTGAGCGTCAGTTTCAGGTGCTCGCCTGTCAGGCGGCTCTGTGCCAGGGGTATTCGGAGGCAAAGCGTCCGATGATCAAGAAGGTAGTTCGAGTAGAGAATCAGAGGGCGACAGGAATGGTGTTTCCGATCGCTTGCCCCCATGAGGACCTGTTGTTCTCTGGCTCTTCGGTGTCAAGCTGCGAGCCGCGGCAATTTTTCCCAGCTATGTCACTGTGTTGGTGCGGGCAGAAGATGACGAAGCCAAGATCGTTGAGACGGGCACGGGGGATGACAAGATCATGCTGCAGTATGAGAAGGTGGTGGCAGTGGAGGCGCAGTTTCCCAAGCATTTCCGGGTGGAGGCCTTTTGCCAATTGCAGCAGGCAATTCGCTTCAACATGTGTGATGGCAATGTGCATCTTGTGATCGGCAAGGTGACGGCGGAAGACGATGGCTCCGACATGGTTCTGGTTACAGAAAGAGTCTTCAAATTGCAATCGGAGGAACAGGTGAAAGGGGTCATGGCCGAGCGTGCCGGCATCGCAGCTGTGCAGATGATTTCGTCGAAAAAAAAGACATGCCGTCGACTTGGTTGAGGAAACGCCCTTGAAAGTGAAGAGTGCCAAGTGGTAGTTTTTTTTTGAGTTGCAAAATCATTGCTGACGGTGATGCTACAGGAACTGTCCGTGCATCACGCAGCGTGATTCTTTGCGCACTGCATTTTTTTTGATTTCAACTAGAGTGGCACTTCTCGACCTTCTCAGAGTGATAGGAACTGTCCGTGCTGTGGAGGGTCGCAGAAAGTGTGTCGCGTCCTGAAAAATGCGTCGGTGCGCCTCTATTTCAAATGATGTCATCCACAGCATCATGGCATTCCACAGCATCATGGCACCACTTTTGTAGAAATGTTCATAAATCAGTGAGATAACATGTGTCATGTACAGCATCATGGTGCCGGGCTTTTTTGGCGATTTGAGAAGGAATCTCCATCACAAAATGAGAGAACAAGTGTGATCTACGACATCATGGTACCGAGCTTTTTTTGCCATTCACGCATGGGTTTGCCATTGATTTTTCCATTGGTGTTGCATTTCCGGCTTCAATGTCCGCACTTTTTGCTTTTTGTCATTGCCCTGTCCCTCGTTCCCTGTCTTTCCGTGCAAGATGGAGCCGGCAGAGGGCAAGGCCGCTGAGGCCGAGGAAATGCCCCCCAAAGCAGGTGGCTGCCCGCCTCGGCATGTGCATGAAAGAATTGGTTGGAAAGATTACGGGCCAGCAGGTTGGCCCGCAATCACTTCCATCAAGCGGCGCAAGGTGCTTAGGAGCCTTTCGCTTAAGTACCACTGCCTGGGTGAGAATGTGCTGGCGGAAACTTTACCAGATCCCACTGCATGCACATCCAAGAGAAAATGGGAGACAGCAATACGGAAGGCGCGTGAGACTCTTCGACTCACGGATGAGTTGACATGGAACCTGGCGCCTTGCGTCGTCGTCTGGATGGCATCTATCTCCATCGAAGAGAACACGTGTCGCCGAACTTGCCAGAGACACAGCCCGTGTCGGTGGAGATACGCCCTTGAAAGCGAAGAGTGCCAAGTGGTAATTTTTTTTGAGTTGCAAAATCATTGCTGACGGTGATGCTACAGGAACTGTCCGTGCATCACGCAGCGTGATTCTTTGCGCACTGCATTTTTTTGATTTCAACTAGAGTGGCACTTCTCGACCTTCTCAGAGTGATAGGAACTGTCCGTGCTGTGGAGGGTCGCAGAAACTGTTCGCGGCGAACCTGCAAAATCAGTAGCCAACTGCTGTCTGTTTGTACAGTTGAAAAGTGTTGATCTACATGTTTTTGTGTGATCCAACTCGATGACTGCTGATCTCATCTTGGTACGAGTGAACAACTATACGCATGATCGTGCAATCTGAAATTTCCGAGGCGGCTCTTGCGCCAGTTTGGTACCGGCCTGGGTTTTTGACGGATGTTTTTGGTCTTGAAGTAAATCAAATTACTGGAATGTGTTCAGCGCTGTGCTGCGCACTAAGGTTGGCACTTCTGAGCCACGACGTTTCACTGCGATTTCAAAGCATCATTTCGTGTTGGTATGTGTTGTAAAAGCGTCGGCCTGTAAAAGCGCCTGTGTGTATTTTTTGTCTATAAGAGCGTCTGTGTGTACAAGAGTCTGTGAGTAAAAGCTTCTGTGTGGAAAAGCGTCTTGGTGCAAAAGCTTCTGCGTGTAAATGTGTCTGTGTGTAAAAGGGTCTGTGTGTAAAAATGTCTGTCTGTAAAAGTGTCTGTGTGTAAAAGCTTCTGTGTGTAAAAGCCTTTATGTGTAAAAGCGTCTTTGTTTAAAACAATATGTGTGTAAAAGGGTCTGTGTGTAAAAGTGTCCGTGTGTAGAAGCTTCTGTGTGTAAAAGTTTCTGTGCGTGTAAAAGCGTCTCTGTGTGAAAGCCTACCCCCCTTTCATTCTCTCTCTCTCTCTCTCTCCCTCTCCTCCCTCTTTCTCTCTGTTGTTGCAAGACACGTGTCATCTGATGCCCTTTACCAAGTATCCTCTTCTTAATCAATCTTTCTTTTTCACACCATATCCTTCCATAGCTCATATAAAATCCACCAACTATTCACCGACTATCTTTTACGACTACCATCCTCAGAGCTGCTTGAAAAACATCTTTTTTTCGCTCTCGGGCCAACCGTCGTCTAGTGATTTTCTGAAGCTTAGATCCTCAAACCAATTGCAGAAAGTGACTTCTTGCACCTGGCTGACGAGGTCTATGCCGGCAGGAGCAGTCACCAATCCGTCAAGTTTTTCTTGCTTCATGAACCCGCCGGAGATGCATGATAGCTGGTTTTTTTCCAAGGGACGTATCCGACCTGATCCCACACAACCAGCGCCCACCCACCCACATATCACCAACGAACCACAGTGGGCATATCCTGCACTGCCCCTCACCACACACCGTCCTGCGCACACCCTGTATACCCGCACGACGTGACATCATTGCTTACCAGCACCATTTACTTGTACCACAATTGCTTTCCACCGCCATGTATTGCTGCTGCATGCCATGGCCAACGTCACCGCAAACCACAGAAAACATACTTCAATGCATAGTGCATACACTCCAGGTTTCCCCTTTGGTGGCAACTTCTTTACCTGTGATCCCATCAGCATATGCCAAGGTATGCAGCAAAGTTTTTCTCAATCCGAGCTTAATTCACCCAAGCGTTGGGGGAAGTAGCATCAAAGTGCTTTAGGGAGAATTCTGTGAATCCAATGCGGGCTGCCACTGACCTTAGTGGCTGTCATGACGGCCTCCAATGCACAACACTAAAAGACACTAAAAGCACTTCCATTAAAGCAATGTGAACAGCAGCCTGGACAAGCGTGCAAGTGGGTGTGCCGGCAGCCCAGTACTGTTAGCAACAGCAACGCGTAGCAACCCCTATGCAGTCGCCGCTGCCCCAGCCATTCCCACTAGAGCTGAGCAAACTGCCTTTGGCGAAGAAAACATTGCCTAATGAAGCGGGTTTTAGTTGTTGTCTTCATATTTTGCAAGTTTGAGCATAATATGGTCACCAGAAAGAAATCTGGCATGATTGTGCAGGAGACATGCCGACTCTGCCAAAGGCTCGTGGGTAAAACATGGTCAAGCTTTCCCTCTTGCTAGGGCCTAGAAGCCTCGAATGTTTCGGCCAGTTTTAAGCAGCATAGGCTAGTAGAGTTTGATTCATGGCCGCCCCACGGTCTAAAAGTTGCCAGATTGCTACACCACAATCAGCGCTCCAGCCTCAGACAAGACGCGTTTTTGTGCTCGTAAATTTTGAGGGCGTGAAACTTTTCATGACTTTTCCCAAGTGTAGTCGTGGCATGTAGTGGCATTATTAGGTGTTGGGAAGAACTTCTGAGGATTTATAGCTCGAACAAGCTCGAACGAACGCATTTAACAAACCATATAGCAGCCAGCCTTTCCTGGTGATTTGAGCCACGACGCCAGGGGTGCCACGTTGACCTGAGGGCATTTGTATTTGAGTTGGGGATGACTGTGCAGGTATGACAAAGCCGAAGCAAGTGCCTTACTGACATTGACCAATGTGACCGCTTGATTCGCAGCAAACTGCGAAAGCGTCAAGATTTAATGTTCAGCAGCAAAGACTACACTACAAGCCAGC